CTAGTTACGAGTATATTTTCTTCTTTCTCTACTTGAGCTTTCTTTCTTTTTTCCGATACTTAGACTTTCCTCGATCTTTTCTTTGATGATCCCTACTACAGCTCCTGTTTCTCCCACTGTCTTCGAATTTCTTTCTTCGTTTCTCATAAAATCATACACCGCTATATTGTGTGTCACCAACTCGTCTATCACTTCTTCGTTTGATGAGCATTTGTACTTTAACACAAGTCCCGATATTTTTCCCCAATTCACAACTTGAATATTTATCCACTTCTGAACTCTTTGGATGTGTGGTGTAAAATGTGTCGCCACATGTTCTAAAATATTATTAAATCTTAGACTTTCACAAAATGTTGTTATTAGAGTCAACAACGCTCCTGCGGATTTTTTTTTTTCGAATCATCTATTTTATTTGGGTCAATCGTAACGAAAGAAATAAGACAGAAAGAGTAATAGATATCTTAATAATTCTAACCTCTACTTCAAACTCATCTCAATCAATTCTTGTCAGTAGTGAGATCCATCATCTGCTTGACGTCATGCAAATTAGATTACCTTATTAGCATTTTATATCCATACGTTATTAATTAGTCATTATAAAAGTAAAAAGAATAATTAATCACTATGTAACAATCTTAAATGGACTGGGATTGGTAGAATATTTATTTAAAATGTTACCTTCGTGCTGGTTACGAGTATATTTTCTTCTTTCTCTACTTGAGCTTTCTCCCTTTTCCCCGATACTCAGACTTTTCTCGATCTTTTCTTTGTGATGCCTGCTACAGCTCTTGTTTCTCTCACCGTCTTCAAATTTTTTTCTTCATTCCTCATAAAATCATACACCGCTATATTGTGTGTCACCAACTCGTCAATCACTTCTTTGTTTGATGAGCCTTTGTACTTTAACACAAGTCCCGATATTTTTCCCCAATTCACTACTAGATTATTTATCCACTTTTGGGCTGAACTTATAAGATGTGTGGCGTTAAAATGTTTCGCCTTATCTTCTAGAATATTATTAAATCTTAGACTTTCACAAAATGTTGTTATTCTAGTCAACAACGCTCCCACAGTTTTTTTTCTTTCGAATCATCTATTTTATTAGGATCAACCGTAACGAAAGAAATAAGACGGAAAGAGTAATAGATTTCTTAATAATTCTAACCTCTACTTCAAACTCATTTCAATAAATTCCGGTCAGTGGTGAGATCCATCATCATCTTGACGGCATGCAAATTAGATAACCTTACTGCCATTTCATATCCATACGTTATTAATTAGTCATTATAAAATTAAAAATAACAATTCATCACTATGTAACAATCATAAATGGCTTGGGATAGGTAGAATATTTATTTAAAATGTTACCTTCCTTCTAGTTACGAGTATATTTTCTTCATTCTCTATTTGAACTTTCTCCCTTTTTCCTGATACTCAGAGAAAAAAGAAATATACTCATAACTAGCAAGAAGGTAATATTATAAATAAATATTGTACCCATCACAGGCTATTTAGGATTGTTACATAGTAATGAATTGTTCTTTTTAATTTTATATTAACTAATTAATAACGTATGAATATGAAATGGCGGTAAAGTTATCTAATTTGCATCCCGCAAACATGATGAGGGGTCCCACCTCCGGTCGGAATTGATTGAGATGCGTTTGAAATATAGGTTAGAATTATTAAGATATCTATTGCACTTTCCGTCTCATACCCTTCGTTACGGTTGGCCTAATCAAATAGATGATTCGAAAGAAATAATCGCGGGAGCGTTGTTGACTCTAATAACAATGTTTTGTGTAAATCTAAGATTTAATAATATTTTGGAACATGTGGCATAACATTTTAACGCCACACATCCTATAAGTTCAACCTCAAAGCGGATAAATATTCTAGTAGTGAATTGGAGAAAAATATCTGGAGTTGTGTTGAAGTACAAAGGCTCTTTAAACGAAGAAGTAATTGATGAGTTAGTGACACACGATGTATGATTTTATGAGGAATGAAGAAAGAAATTTGAAGACAGTGGGAGAAAGAAGAGCTGCAATAGGCATCATCAAACAAAGAAAAGATCGAGGAAAGTTTGAGTATCGGGGAAAAGGGAGAAAGCCCAAGTAGAAAAAGAAGAAAATATACTCATAACTAGCAGGAAGGTAACATTTTAAATAAATATTATACTCATCCTGGCCATTTAGGTTTATTACATAGTGATAAATTGTTCTTTTTAATTTTACAATGACTAATTAAAAACGTATGGATATGAAATGACAGTAAGTTTATTTAATTTGCATGCTATCAAGCTGATGATGGATTTCACCACTAGTAGGAATTGATTGAAATGTGTTTGAAGTAGAGGTTAGAATTATTAACATATTTATTATTCTTTGTCTCATATCTTTCGTTACGGTTGACCTTTGTAAAATAGATGATTCGAATGAAAAAATCGAGGGAACATTGTTGACTCTAATAACAACATTTTGTGAAAGTCTAAGATTTAATAATATTATGGAACATGCGGTGAAACATTTTAACGCCACATATCTTATAAGTTCAGCCCAAAGTGGATAAATATTCTAGTAGTGAATTGGGAAAAATATCGGGACTTGTGTTAAAGTTCAGAGGCTAATCAAATGAAGAAGTGATTTACGAGTTGATGACAAACAATATAGCGGTGTGTGATTTTATGAGGAATGAAGAAATAAATTTGAAGACGGTGAGAGAAACAGGAGCTGCGGTAGGCATCATCAAAGAAAAGGTCGAGAAAAGTCTGAGTATCGGGGAAAAGGGGGAAAGCTCAAGTAGAGAAAGAAGAAAATATATTCATAATTAGGAGGAACATAACATTTTAAAAAATATTCTACCTATTGCCATTTAGGATTGTTACATAGTGATGAATTGTTCTTTTTAATTTTATAATGACTAATTAATAACGTATGGATATGAGATGGCAGTAGGGTTATCTAATTTGCATGCCATCAAGCTAATGATAGATCTCACCACTGGCCAGAATTGATTGAGATTAGTTTGAAGTAGAGGTTAGAATTAGGTAAGATATCTATTACTCTTTCTGTCTCATATCTTTCCTTGTGTTACATAAAATGAATAAAAGTTTTCCTCTGTGGTGTTGGAGTGAATGATGTACATTTGGGATACACTAAAGTGTACCCCTAGCATTTTTCATTTTATATATTACTCATCTTAGTGTTTTACATATTCCATTTTCACATACTAGTCCCTCTGCCCTTAAAACATAGGACATTTTTATTTATAAGAGATTTAAAGAAAATGTACTTTGGTGTAAAGTTTCCAATAATATCTTTAGTTGTGATGGATAAAAGTATGATTTGATGAGTAAATTAATAGTGAATAAATGTGATGTGATAGTTACATTAAGAATTAGTAGGGGTAAAAGTACCTTTTAATAAAAATGAGAAAAGATTTTTGAGATGGAACGAGTATAATTTTTACATAATATCTCCATCCCTAAAAATATGGGTGTTTTTTTTAAAGAGATTTAAGTAGAGTGTATTTTGGTGTTGAGTAAAAGTAGAATTTGATAGGTTGATTAATAGAGAATAAGTATGATATGATATGTAGGTTAAAAATTAGTACTCCGAATCTCATCTCCGGGCCCTCTACTTGTTTTCCACTCCAACCCTTTTAATTTCTTTTTCACTTGTTCCCCGATCCCCATAATAAAGACACTTTTCTAGCCCAAACCTTTCCTTTAATTGTTATGACATTAATAATTAGTTTATTCTTTTCCTCTCAAAAAACTTTTTTTCTTTTAATTTTTTTAACAAGTTGTGATTTTCTTTTAATTTTTTTAACAAGGTTGCAAATTATATGGTCTTCTTTTGCTCAACTCATAGCTAGTACACTACTGCTTTTGCTGATATAAAAAGACAATAGTACTACTGCTTCTCAATGCCATTACTTCTTCATTCTCTCAGTAATCCTCTTCATTTGCTCTCCCCCTATAAACACAATACTGCTTCATTCTCTGTGCCATTACTTCTCCATTCTCTCAACACATAGATAGTTTACACACCTTTTCTCAGTCCATCGACCAACTTCTTTCACACATTTCTACCACTTGATTTTTTTGGTAAGTATATATATAATTATCTTTTAACCATTAATTAAGAATTGCTTCAGATATATCTTTTTTGGTTTTTGTGGTGGGGGAGGGAGATTAAGAACATACTTTAATGTGTATGTGTAGTGTGTGTATTTTCTTTGAACTAATAATAATTATTATCTCAGGCCAGTCTAACTTAGCTTTAATCTTATTGATTGTCTCTATCTCGCTCTTGAGATATATAGTTGATCCATCTTAATTCGTTCCTGAGATCTGGGTAAGGTTATTCTCCATCAACTTCTTTCTCAATAGGTTCACTCAAATGCTTTTTTTTCATTTTTTTGGCAAAAGATCTCAATGGGTTGAACAAAATGTTTTCTAGTCAATATTGAATTTGTTTGACTCGACCTTAAATTAAAAAATCTATTTTTAAAAGTTCTACGGAGTATCAATTATATTATTAAGCAACGACTCTATCAAATTAAATTAAATTTCATTAGTGTGACAGTGAAAATTTAGTACTATGATTTAATTTAAGCACCCTAGCAATGTGGGTTTGGGTGGGATGGTTTGCGCAGGGGGGTGCATGGTGAATAATAAGGCTGGGGGTGTATAAAAATGGTAGGAGTTGCTTTTGGGTACCCCGAATTATATGCATGAGAAAGGGATTTCTATTTACAGAAAATTGCTCCTGGGTACCCCATATTTTGAGAAACTAACTGCCGGGTACCTCATATTTTTAAAATATACTCCGAGGTGCTCCTATTTTTAGAAACTAACTATCGGGTACCTCGCATTTTTAAAATATACTCTGGGATACCTCCAAATATACATTAACTTAACCATAAGGGACATTTTGTTTCATTCGAAAGCTTCGATTAAATTCGATAGATTGTATCATTAAAGTATAAAAACTAAGGTTATTTTTGGAATTCACACCTCTAATTTTTAAAATTAATGGGTAACTGGCTTTGACGAAGAGTGAAATGGGATGTCCTTCACGGGTAAGTTTATGTATATTTGAAGGTACTCCGGAGTATATTTTAAAAATGCGAGATACTCGATAGTTAGTTTCTAAAAATAGAGGGTACCTCGGAGTATATTTTAAAAATATGAGGTACCCGGCAATTAATTTCTCAAAATATAGGGTACTCAAGAGCAATTTTCTCTTTCTATTTACGTGTAATTTCTCATGCATTTACTACAAAAAAACCCCTACCATTTTTATACACCCCCAGCCTTATTATTTACCATGCACAGCCTTATTGTTCACCATGCACCCCCCCATGCCCAAACCACCCCACCTTTACCCCAAACCCACATTGCTAGGGTGCTTAAATTAAATCATAGTATTAAATTTTCACTGTCACACTAATGAAATTTAATTTAATTTGATAGAGTCGTTGCTCAATAATATAATTGATACTCCGTAGAACTTTTAAAAATGGATTTTTTAATTTAAGGTCGAGTCAAACAAATTCAATATTGACTAGAAAACATTTTGTTCAACCCATTGAGTCCTTTTGCCAAAAAAAAGAAAAAAAAGCATTTGGAGAGCCTATCTACATATTCACTATTGTAATAAAATATTGAAGCTTTTGATTAATGTAGAATATGTGTGTAGTATAATAAAGTGGTAATGGCATAGAGATGTGAGAAAGAAGTTGATGGAGAATAACCTTATCCGGATCTCAGGAACGAATTAAGATGGATCAACTATATATCCCAAGAGCGAGAGATAGAGACAATCAATAAGACTCAAGCTAAGTTAGACCGTCCTGAGATAATAATTATTATTAGTTCAAAGAAAATACACACACTACACATACACATTAAAGTATGTTCTCAATCTCCCTCCCTCACCGCAAAAACCAAAAAAGATATATCCGAAGCAATTCTTAATTAATGGTTAAAAGATAATTATATATATACTTACCAAAAAAATCAAGTGGTAGAGATGTGTGAAAGAAGTTGGTCGATGGACTGAGAAAGGGTGTGTGAACTAGCTATGTGTTGAGAGAATGGAGAAGTAATGGCACAGAGAATGAAGCAGTATTGTGTTTATAGGGGGAGAGCAAATGAAGAGGATTACTGAGAGAATGAAGAAGTAATGGCATTGAGAAGCAGTAGTACTATTGTCTTTTTATATTAGCAAAAGCAGTAGTGTACTAGCTATGAGTTGAGCAAAAGAAGACCATATAATTTGCAACCTTGTCATCTGCTTTGGGATCATGCCGGAAAAAATAGTGCTCAGTAGCTCCTCAAAATAAGACTTCCTCCTATCAACCTAAAACGACAACATAAAACAAGACCTAAAATAACAGACACCAAAGTAATTATGAGGTAAATGTATGTTTTGCTACCTCTTCACATATTTGCTTGTAATCGTGGTTGGGATCATTCCGATACTTATTAGCCAACGCACTTTTCATACCCTACGCATTCCACTAAATGTTTATATTCATATAGCTATAAATATTGATCCACTCACTTGCTATAATAATAATAATAATGATAATAATAATAAAGTCTCCTTTGGTGCTCAGACATGAAAGAGAGATCCCATTGAAATTAGAAAACTGGAGGGGCTAAAAATATAGGAGGAATTGAAGAAATTTTTGTCCTCAGAAAAATATTTCATTGACACAAGCACAAGAAGAGCAGTCATACCCCTCACCCTCCCCTCCCCTCCCCTCAATCAAACAGTCTCTTATAGTTTCTACAAAGAAGCTCAAATGAACATTAGGAAATATATCAAAGCACGGAACTAGAATCCAAAAGAGAGTTTCTACCTCAACGTCGGGAGTGACATCAATATTAGGCATATCATCAACCACCAACTTCACATCAGGTTCTTTAGTAGGTTCTTGAATTCTACGCAGTTCTGCTGAGACTGCTTCATACATCTTGCTATAACATTCTTTATCAGTCCAGTACCCGAACACAACAGTCAGAACTCCACTTTAGAAGAAACAAAGACAAACTACTGTTTAAAACAATGAATTGATGGCCTGGACACACTGAAACCATATATTTACAGTAAATCATAAACACATAACCTAATAATAGCAGTGGTTTGAGTCTCTTCCAAAATGCTTTGGAACAATGTCTCTCTTGAGAGCTTCCATTCGTTCTTCGCCTTCTGCATTTGAGTGTGGACCGTCTGGCTCTAACTCAATGAGCAAGTGGTTATCCTATATTATTAAAATGACAACAAAAAGAGTATGAGAATAACACATAACAACTTGATGGGATATTGTTTACCACACATAAAACATTATCATTAATACAACCTCCATGTATGTTTCAACACAAGCCTGAATAAACATAGGACTTGCAAATAGCTCTCTCACACCAGAAACAATAGCCGATACTTGTTCATTCTTTAGGGATTGAAAAATCTCTTCTGCCAGTGGCTCAAGGTGAATGAAATTTTGCTGCAGAGACATACACAAGGTAAATGAAAAAGATTTCTCTAGTGAATCCATAATTATGAGTATAGACATAAACGCAAGAACGGTTTTGACTTCAAATGAAAAATTGAATCTTACTCTTGATATATCTTTAATGAAAGATCTGCCTTCATACCAAGGTCGGAGGTAATGAAAGATCTCTTCATCTTCTTCTTGTTCAATATCAGCATCTAATGTCTCCTCCACCTCCTCCTCCTCGATGGCTTCTCTTTTTCTCTTATGGTCACCATTAACCTCTACCGAAAAACCCATTAAATTAGTACATATAAAGCAAATAGAAAAACAAACAAAAAGTATAAGAAGCATTATATTTGAGTTTTGGCTATGGAAAATAGATCTCGACTACATTCTTATAATAATGAATGTTTTCAAATCTGAGGCATAAAAACGTTTCAGATCTGGTGGTTTCTGAATGAAGATGTAAGAAGATGAATTACCAGACATCTTAGTAGGAGCGGGATGAAGAAGACGAAACTGTAGAGAGAATCGGATAAAGGAAGAAGAATGGTGGGACAAGGGGGGAGGGGTTTGTGTGATGAATTTATATATTCATCATTATCTATTAGGGGGAAGATTCTTAAAATAAGGGAGATGGACCAAAATAGGAGTAAAAGAGTTAGCATATTCCAAAATAGGGGTTGAAACTTAAACTCCACTAAATAGGAGTAATTAACAATGACTCCAATTCCACGGATGCTCTCTTTAGTTCACCTTGAGGTGCGTAGAAGGTGTAGTACTGATTATGTGAGACATCAGCTGTTCGAAGCTTTCAGATTTGTCCCGCAAGCTGCAGCAGATCGAAGAAGGAGCAATTTGCCGAAGAAGAAGAAAGGGTACGGCGTCGTTTTATAAAATGATTAAAATAATCTTTTGGGCTTTGACCAGCCCAACATTTCAGAAGCCCAATTGCTAAAAAAAATATACAGAGTACTTTAATTGCAGCCACTCACTTCGGCTGCATAAGAGCATCAGCATAACCTGCGTTCCACGTGTTCCACACTTCCACCAATCCAATTGCTAAAAAAAATATATGGAGTACTTTAAAAAAAAAATTTGCGTTGATTTTTAAAATATCTTTAAATTAATGAGTAAAAGTTGGATGTCGTGAATGAATTATTAGTAAAAAGTTATGATAGATAAATAGAATAATAATTAGTAGAGATAAAAGTAATTTTTTAAGAGATTGAGGGAGTATTTTAGTTTGTAAGACAAGAAAAAAAGAAAAGAGAAAGAATTTAAGAGATTGAGGGAGTATTTTATTAATGAAATTCTAATATCAAATAGTTCTTTTATATTCTCTGATTTTGTTTTCATTCTTTTGTTGAATTAATCAGATTATTATAGTAACAAAAACTCCGTAAATGAGATTATTATTCATAAAAATCATTTTTACAAAACTAGATTATTTAATACGGAGTATTCAATTTCATCGCATCAGTTGAATACTTGTTTTGTCTTGAATTAAATAGATGGGTTTGTTTAAGTGGAAGAAATTGGTAAAAAAAATTAATTTTCGTGTAAGTAATTAGAATAATGATTCATTTAAAATTTCAATAATAAATCCAAAATTAGAAGATTAAAAATTACAAGAATAATAAATAGAAGTGAATTTGTAGTTTTTGAATAATCTTGTTCATTCTTATTATTCAAATGTTTGTTTGAGATAACATTACGCCTTCCGTCTCATAATTGAGTACATCTTTTGTAACTCAATATTTCGATAATTTGTATTTATTTATGTGTTTTCATTGATTATTTGATAAAAGATATAAATTTTTAGTATTTTTACCTTGTAACTATCAATCTGTAATCTAAATTTGAACTAAGGAAGCATTAGTTTTCTTTGGTAATTTCGTACCCTAGCCCCATACACTATTTTGTGCCCTCCCAGAATCTGGGTGCTGGCTCTGCCACTGGTTCTGGAACATCATAGTTGCTATTTCCTTGTTTCGTTAGACTTTTTTGTTTAATATATCGAGTGTTTGTATGGCACTCATGATTTATTTTAAAAAAAAACATAACAATGACTCTAATTTTTTACTCCAAAAACAATGACTCATGCATCTCCCAAAACTAAACAATGACTAAGTTCCAAAATTTCTTATTCGTACATGTGCTGAATTTTTAATCCTGGAGTTTGAGCACTGTTCTAAGCCGCCTCATGCATGAATTTTCAAATCCTTTGTTTCCAATTAAAACCTTCACTACCCCTCTTCCATGCAATTTCCTCTTTATTTAATTATTTTTTTAAAATTATAAATTTTTATACTCTTTTACACACTCATAAACTCCAAGCCTCTAAGTCTAAACTTCCAACAACTCTAGAAATTAGAAAAAATTCAGTAATGTCAAAAATGTAATTTATTTTAACACCTTATCATTTGCTTAGAAGATTCTAGTGCCTCTTCAACTCTTCCATGGGAACATAATGTTGTAACATAATGACCATGTGAACATTGCCCTTGCTTTACCAAGTAGTTCCCCAAACTGCTACCCAAATCAATCGTATGATTATTAAAGAAAAACTTTCCATGCTGCGTGTTGTTCGCAAGAACTCTCGTTCAGTCATCTTGATTTATAGTAAATTGTTATTGAATCATTAACAAAACTGGATCGACAAAAAAATAACAAATTTGAATGTAAATAAAATTAATTCAAGAACAAAACACACCCAAAACTTCATCAAAAAAATGAATCAATACCTACAAATAGAAACGTAGTAAATTGCTAAATTAAAATGTCCATACAGTGTCAAAAAAGACCACATCAAATGTCACATGTAATCATATAATGACAATCATGCTAATGTATAAAGTCATATATGCGAATACATGATGCTAAAAAAATAACAAATTTGAACATAAACAAAATTAAATATAATAACAAAACACACCCAAAACTTCATCAACAAAAATGAATCAATACCTTACATATAGAAATGTAGTAAATTGCTAAATTAAAATGTCCATACAGTGTCAAAAAAGATCATATTAATTATTAAATGTCACATGTAATTATGTAATAGCAATCATGTCAATGTATAAAGTCATACATGTGAATGCATAATGCTAAACAAATTAAATAGATAATGCCAACGTTGACATTGTACGGATAATATTATTCTTGGTAATGTATAATAAAAGATATATCAATGTATAATGTTAAACATCACAGATATTAATGCATAATGTCAAAAAGGGGTAAATGTCAAGTAACTCTACTATTTGCCATAGTTTTGTTTAATGAGTATTGGGAGTCCAACTTGGTTTGTGCGGCTAGGAGGGTTAATCAAATCATATATTTAATTAATTACTCCTATTTAGAGCAGTTTAAGTTTGAATTCCTATTTTGAGGATATGATCCATGTTTTACTCCTATTTAGGGGGTTTTTTTAAAGAAATATTTGCACTAATATTTGGGTAAATTTGCATAGAATTTAAAAATAAAATTTATATATTTAAAAATGAAATCTAAAATTTTACAAAATCATATGCATCATGATTATATTATTTTATCAAATAGGTACTGAAAATAAATATTGAAAGACAATAAAATTTGAAAATATAAATAGTGAATGAATAACTTAAAGTGAGATGGAGACAATATGTACTAAAGTAGAATTAGTGAAGAATTAAAAAGCTCTAGTAGTAGTAAGATATTAAGTCTAGAACTAATAAATAAAAGTTGGAGAATTATCAAATACTACAACACAAATTATGAAATCATAGTGCGTGCACTAACAATTCTTAGTGTGCGACTTAAGAAAAATAAGTGTGCCCTAGAGTAGGGGTAAGCAAGTACCGAACCGATACCGAAATTTTCTGAAAAAACCGAGAATACCGAACTGAAAAATACCGAATCGAAAAAGTATCGAGAAGGAACCGAACCGAATGGTCGGTACGGTATTCGGGAATGGTACGAGGTGACGTGTAAATGATGTGTAAATTATACTTTTATTTGAGTTTTAATTTTAGTGTATGAATATAAAAATATTCACAAAGATTCGAAATACTCCTTTGTTGTCATTCATTTTTTTAGTTTGTGAAATATAAACTAAGTTTTGATACGTATCTCTTGCATTTAAATATTCATTTTTTTAATTATTTATATTTTTTTATTTAAATTCACTTTTAATTTTCAAATATAAAGGGGCATTGTTAAATTTTAACGTGTAAAGTAGGTATGTATATTTATCCCGATTTGTACCGAAACTGATACCGAACCATCCCGAACCATACCGAACCGATATTTCGGGATCGGGATCGGTATGGAGAAAAATCCTATACCGAACCGAAATATTCGGTACGGTATCGGTACGAGCTAAATACCGTACCATGCTCACCCCTACCCTAGAGCACTGCTCACGCATTGAGTTTGTCAATTTGCAAATGGCACGCGGATCCTTAATATGCGTGAGTCAGAGCATCTCCAACCACACTTGCTAAACATGACTTGCTAAAGTTATTTTTTAACATGTGAATAGTGGTATAGCAAGCCATTTTATATTGTCATCTCCAACCTTCCCTTGCTATATTTTAGCTAACAATTATTATAATACTTTCCTTATAATAATTATTCAATTATTATTTATATTATAAAAATTAAGTAATAATTATATAATTTAAAAATAATAATTTCAAAAACCAAAACGGAGTAATATTTTACTTTAGGGAAAATAATAAAATATAAAGAGCATTTTTTAAATATTTAATAAATACCAATTAACGAGTAGAGAAAAGAACTTTACAAAAAGTAAAAAAATTACAGAGTTGAAGTAACTAAATATTTTGAGAAGGAGAATGAGAGAAAATAAGAAAGAAATCAAATATTTAATCAATATCATGATTTGCTATATTTTGAGAGGCTTGTTATACATGACAAGCCAAAGTTAAAATTTACCAAGTGTGTTATAATATAGCAAGCTCCTTGGAGTCCAAAAATTGAAATGAATTGCCAAATAATGACATTTAACAAGTTAAAACTCAATGGTTGGAGATGCTCTCATGTGTTCTAGGATAAAAAAACTATGTTTAATTTGTTAAATGCATTACTATCTCATTTTATAGCAGATCATTTGGAGATGCTCTCATTTGAGTTTGTGTATTCCACTTGTTGTTGTTGTTGTTGTTGTTGTTGCTGTTTGTCTAGTTTGTTTAAAAAAAACTACTTTCTCCGTTTCCAAAAAGAGTTCCTACTTTGAAAAAGTGGAAAAATAAGGAAGTGTTAAATTGTAGTTGACTTCTAATTTTGCCCTTGATGTGATGAGTAAAAGTAAGATGTTATAGGTATATTATTAGAGAAAAAATATGATGTGATAGGTAGGGTATGAAAAAGTAAGGGTAAAAATGGTTTTTTAATAGAAAGTGGAAGTGTTTTGTTGGAAGTAAAAAAAAATGAAAGAGGAAATGTTTTTGAGAACGCAGGGAGTAGTACATATAAGACATGGATAGTACTAGCTCCAAACGAGTTTCTCACCCACGCCTAAAAAACAAGAATTAAACTATTTGTAATTCAAAAATTTTACTCCACTTTGTATTCTAAAGACATACATCGATATTTTATATTAGTGTAATGCTAGTGTTATAGTTCATAATGACAGAAAATGTCGATGCAATTTTTTTTTAATTATACTAGCATTTTATGCTAACTATTGTGAATCCTAAAAATATCGATATATTTCTTATTCTCTTTGAGATACAATTTGACATATATTTTTGGGTGTACCACTAGCATTTTTGAAGAAACTAAGTAAACCTAGCAAAAAATGACCCGACCTGTTTTTGACCCGAGACCCGACCCAAAAATACTGAGTTTTGAACAAAAATTTTGCTGACCGAACCCGAAGTTGATCGAACCCGAAATTACCAGTTAAAAATGGGTCAAATCCGACCGAACCCAAACGCGACCTGACCGACCCGCTAATGTGAGAATTTTCTAAAATCATATGCTTTAATATGTAATATAATGTTATAAAAATAAGATTTAAATTTTATTTCTTTTCTTTTTACTCATTTTTAATGTATAAATTTATATTTTCATACAAAATTTTAATGATATTGCATAATTATCTTACGTTTTTTCAAAATTTTAATATGATCATATTTAGTTTTTTTATTCGTAATATTGATAACCGGTCATGAAAATTACTAACAATTTTAAAAAATAAATTAAAGTCATAATCCGTTGGGTCAACCCAAACCTGATGACATTGAGACATGAAAATGTAGCTCTTAACCCGAATCTGAATTTAACCGAACTCGAAGTAACCTAAACTCAAAGTGATCAAACCCAAACCTGACCTAACCAACCATTTTGCCAACTCTAATTAAACTAACCAGGCATGCTATGTATATACGGCATGAAATCGTATATCTTTATTTTAATGCTCCCTAAATTCATACCCTAATTGACTTCAATTCCCTTCATATATGTACCGAGATTGTGTCTCTCTCACTCCAACAATAAAATTCATTCAGAAAACACCTCCTTTACCGTTCTATCCTCCTGCCATTTCATCGGCTTCGCACCACGTTCTGGAAGAGAAATGCCAGGTAATTCACGTTTTGTTTTGTTTTGTTTTTTTAGAAGGTAAAATCCATTATATTACACTCTACATATGCATCAAGTCTGAAACCAGTATTTATTCATCAGATGCATTTGCATAAAATCAAAATCTCGTCCGTTTAGTACAGGAATTGAAATTGGAGACTTGAATTTCAATTTTGTTGTGGATTTGGAATTGATAGCCAAAAATATGAACTGGAATTGAAATTGGAAACTTGAATTTCAATTCTGTTCAATTCCATGGAATTTTTAATTCCAATTTAATTCCAAGTACTAAACAGAGCCTAAATGTAATTGCTTTCTTTTTCTTTGTTTATTGCTAAAATATTAAATGTTGGGGTTTCCTGCAGAGGATAGTTGTATGAGTCTTGATCACAAGAGAAAAATAAGTTCTGATGGCTTAACTGCTAACCCAAAGAGAAGAGAAGTCAGCAATAAGGAGGAGACATCAGATGACGATAATGACAATGAAGATGAAGAGATGGTGCCAGATTCCCCATATACTTCAGAAGACTCAAACTTTTCTTTAGGAGACATATCTTGGATTCACTTTATATTGAATGTAATTTTCATTTTGTTTGTTTAGTAAAAACCATGTGCACGTTTAGGCTTTAGGAATACACACACACATCATTTGTTTCGTTGGATATTTTTAGGTGATTTGGGGTGTTTGTGCAGCGACAATTTGTTCAAGTCTTGTCTAGGAAGGTAGAAACTGATTTTGAACTCAAGCAGCTTGCAAAAGAGCTTTTTCAATCCCTTAGGAATGCTGTTGAAGATGGTGAACAAGTTTCAAGTATTGTTGCCGGAGTGAAAAAGCTTTTTGAGAGTGATGTGTTTGTTCAAGCGTGTGTTGAGACATATATGGAGGTATTCTCTTTTTCTGTATGACAATTTTCCTTGTATGATGAACTATATCACATCAAGTAGTTATGTATCTCTTATTCTCATACTTTTTTTGCTCTTGTAATTTTATTAGGATCCGCAATTGCTTGTTGAGTTAGAGCCTAACTTTAACACAGAAGGCAAAGAACGAATGGAAGCTCTCAAGAGAGACATGTTGTTCCCAAGCATTTTGCAAGAGACTCAAACCAATGCGATTATTAGGTGATATGCTTATGATTTACTCTATTTATTTGATTTTATTTTTTTTCTTATGAATGTATTACTCTCTGCCTTTTTTTCATCACACCACTTTCCCCTTAATTTGTTCACTATATAATGTTCTCAGTTTCCGAAAAGAGATGTGTGGTTCAAACTTCATGGTTACTCTATTTATTTGATTTTATTTTTTTCTTATGAATGTGTTACTCTCTCTGCCTTTTTCATCACACCACTTTCCCCTTTTAAGTTGTCACTAAATAATGTTCTCAGTTTCCGAAAAGAGATGTGTACTTTGATCTCCCCTATGTATAAATCTCAACATCTCTGTCTCAACTTTTCTTTATCATTTTTCAGAAAAGCAAATGAAAACATTAATGACGGGCAGAGAGTGGTTTTGCAACATGATACTTAAATGCAAAGAAAGTACACTTTCAAACTTCATGGTTATGTTTCAACATATTTTTTATGCTTGGAAAAACTTGTAATTTATCTATCCGGATCTGTGTATGCACATGATCATAATGTTAAGACACCAACTACAAGGCCTATATAATCCCCCAACTCCAATGGAAAAGTAGAGACACTTTTTTGGTTAGACTCCTTGATGCATCTAGTACCCAAAACTTCACAGAGAGTACTCCTAGTGTGTTATTTTGATCGAAAGCATTATTTAGACTATTTAAAATGTGAATACTTCTCTTTGACTTGCAATAGATGAAACATTGAAATTTCAAATTATATACTGAGTACAGTCTTTTTGTGACTGTGGCCTCGAAGTGGGAGAGTATTTTCTTGATTGAACTTTAGAACTACACATGTTTTTGGACATGGCTTCAAATGACTTCGTATTACGGAGTATTTTATTTGTGTTTCGCTGGGTTGAAGCATTCAATTCCTTTATTAATAGTAGTTTTATGACTTTTATCTCCTTTTCCCCTAAAGAGGAGTCCTGACTGTTGTGTTCGGGTACTGGAGCGATAAAGATTGTTACAATGAGGTGTCTGAAGCAGTTAATAAAGAACTGCAGAAACTTCACAAACCTAACAACGAACCTCCAGTGGAGATGGTGTATCATGATATTCCTAATATTGATGTCTCTCCCGACATTGAGGTAGTGTCCCTTTTGTTTTGTTCTAGTTCAGTGCATTTTTTTTTATCTTGTCATTTCAATGTTCTTTTGCCTTTTGGTTGTGTAGAAACTTAGGGCGTGTTTAATATGAGGGAAGGGGTAGGGGTATGCCGGTGTGCATGTCCTTGTACTTGTTTCAATGAAATATTTCATGTCTATGAACCAAAAAGGACTTCATTATTACCATTGACTGGATCAATTTCTTTCTTTCTTTTCTGCATCATTATCTATCACCAGTACTTGATTAAAACTTTCAAATGAAATATCTAGGGGTTGAAAGAAGCGTTGGCTATTAGATATCGAGATGATCCTAACCAAGATTACAATCAAATATGTGAAGAGGTATGTTAGACATTCCCATCGTATGAACTTTGGTGAATGTGGTTTATATCATACGAAGTACTCCGTATCATTTACTGTGATGTTTAACTAGATCAAGAACTAACAAGTTCCTGATTCTTCCTTGAAAAAAAGTTACTTCTTTTCACCCCTGAAGCTTTTATAATTGTAGGTCCTGTTTTATTTTGTCCTTTCAGGTCGATAGCAACAAGTCTTATTTTGAGGAGAAGCTGAATCTTAGCTCTGATTTACCTGGCATGATCCCAAAGCGGATTACAAGGTTGGTGGTTGCATGGGTTGGCAAGTCCTTGAAATTGGGTGGTATAGACTTCGTGGCTAGGCGAGAGCAGAATCCCTAGCCTGACTCTGATGTGGTTTAGTTGGCGTTTTTAGGATATATTTGGCTGGTCATTTTAAATCTGTGACTGTAGCACAGTGATACTTGTTGAAGACCTTATAATTTGGCAAGTAGTCCTAGACATTTAAGTGTGTTTTGTCCTTGTGATCAAGAAGCAGCTGCCAATGTCTGTTAAACGTGGTGACATGTACTATAACAAACGATGAATGTATTAAGGATTCAGATTTGAGAAAAGAAACCAAAATATAATGTTTCCTGGTAGCTATACTACACTAGCTAGGGACTTCAAAGTGTACGTTCCAGTAAGCCACCATATACTCTGATCTTTATATTCTTCTCATTCTAACTAGGAGAACAACCAATACCAATTCAACTATAAGTCCAGAAAACTAGCTAAGTACAAACTATGGAGTATTAAACTAACTAACTAAATGCAGTACTTGTATATCTCCAAAGTGATGCCTGATTGTCTTCCGATCCCAGCAATAATGGCCAACAAGTGACAACAGCTGGATAAGGCGAACCGAAAATTCTTTCCATTAATCTTCTTAATTGCAGTCATCAAAACCACTCCATTAACTTGTTGTATGGCTTTCACTCTTAAGCTATCCAGCAGACTTTTGTGGCACTGTTATAGTTAGTGACCATTATAGGATACATTATTTGTAATGGTTATGATGATGATGATAATTATCAAACAAAGAACAAATGATCAAAGTATGTATCTAAAATCGATAGAATATTGATTTAAAAAAATGTACCTTCTTACTTATTGTCCTCTTCTTCTAGTTGAACTTTTACCCTTTTCAATCCCCTCCGTATCATCCTCTCTCTTGATTTTAATAATGCCCATTGCTGATCTTACTTCATCCGCCCTCATCAAATTTATTTCCCTTTTCTGTTGATTGTCATATATTGAGACGTTACTTGTTACCAACTCTGTGATCACTTCTTTTTCCATTGAATCTTTGTACTTTAACACCAAGTGAGACAATTTTCCCCAGTCCCTGACTAGCTTAAGAATCCAGTCCGGAGCCGAGGCAGTGGAACGTCTGGGGCTAAAATGTCCAGCTACATACTCTAGAATATGATTGAATCTTAAGCTTTCAATAAATGTAGTTATTATTGTCAACAACTCCTGCGCAATTTCTTCTTTTAGTGTACCTATCTCATTTGGGTTAACTTTCCGCAACACATTCATCGCCCGGGTTATAAACTCAGGACCCCCAAGCAAAGTTTTTGGAGATAACCTTCTCAACTCAGTGTAGTCCATGTACACGTCAATAAATTCTCCATTTTTTATTGAGTTCTTTGTCTCGGGCGTATGACCTTTTTCTTTTAGCTCGAGCCAGCCTTTTTCGCATTTAAACCCGATGAGATATAAATCATTCACGCGCATCGCTAGTTGTAGTAATGAACCTTGGTATTGCAAATTTACAAAATGTAGATTTCCCTTATCTTTTTCACTAACAGTGTAGATGCCTTGGAGGGAAGATGGTGTAGCTAATAAAATGCGGGCATCCTTGATGAAATTTACAAATGTATCAGCATCTATCACGTTGGAAAAATCTAAGTCTTTTGTCCCAGTATTTTTATCCTCATTAGCCATGTAGGTATTTCACTAAATTGGGACAGATACTTCAAATTGTCTCACTTGGTCTGTTAACCAGAGAGCTAAGGAAATCTGGACCTATAGTTTGGAGACAAAGATCATGATGTAATTAGCTGAAGAAGACAAGTAAAAGTAATTAAAATGGATGTTTCTATATATAATGCATCTTTGTTGTTACTTTCAGAGGCATACTAAATAATACTCCGTACTCCGTATATAAAGCTTCTGTGGATTTAAAGTTTAATTTCTTACATATGCATCTTTAACTATATGACTGCTTCCCTTTTATATTTTTTATAAAAAATTTTGAAAGTCATTATAGTTTAGAGAAAAAGAATAGAATAGGAGTAAAATATAAAAAAAATGTACAAAAATAAAAATTAAATTTCTTTATTCCAAAAGTAGGAGTTACAATGAAAACATTTGACAATCATGAAAGAAAAAATAGGTTTGATTACATTAAATGACATGCCTAATATTTAAAACAAAATCTTGTAATATATAAAGTATAACTACAAATATATTATTTTATAATAAATACTGCATAAATAAATTAAAGTGCAATGTAACCACAATAATTTTTTAGAATTTAACATTTTTATATTTATGCTAAGTTTAATAAATAATTTTTTTTGCAAAAGTAGTTTTTTGTGTGAAAAATAACAATACGTTTTTTATCTTAAGGCATTCATTAAGATAACGTGATGATGATAATGATGATGATGATGATGATAATTTATAACAAGAATTAGAATGAGAATAATGTAAAAATCTACTAAAATAAAATTTTTTCTAGTTTTTTTAGGTTTTCAATTTTTTAAAAGTTTTTCCAGTTTTTCCAATTTTTCTAGTTTATTCCAGTTCCTTCCAGTTTCTTTCAACATCTAACTCTTTTAACCAATCATAAAGAACAAGCTCTAAGTGTTGCTATTTGCTACTCTACTCTTCTTAGAGTGCATGCAAATTTTTAGTTTTTGAAAAAAAGAGCCTAAGAGGCTCTTATAATCAACTTACCTAGCTAAGAAAGATGAATTCTTTTTGTATTCTAATCAACCAAAGTACAAAAAAGTTGTTTTTGAAAAGAAAGCACTTAACTGGCCTACACTTAGACACATTGGGTATTTGGATACATTGAAAGTATTACTTCGATCTTTTGTTTCAAATTAATTGTTAGAGTTTGTTAAAAAGTACTCCCTCCGTCCCATTTTAAATTGCCTGTTTACCTTTTTTCTCCGTCCCAAAATAAGTTGCCTGTTAGTTGTTTTCGTAAACTTTTAAGAGTAAAATACATAAACTACCTCTAAAATAAGTCTCTCTTTTCCACATTATCTTTTCATTCATCATCATCCCTCCTAAAAAGTACTGACAATTTCGAAAAATTAACTCTATTTTTTATTTTCTTTAAATATGGCCAAAAGTCAAAACAGGCGATTTAAAACGGGACGGAGGGAGTAACAAATGGGATGTTGAAATATGTTTAGATAAAGTAAAAAATGAAAATTGTTGAAAAGTGCCCTACACCGAAATACTTTTAGGATCCATTTGGTACTCGGAATTGATAAAATTGGAATTGAATTGGAATTAAAATTTTATTGGATTCAATTTAATAGAACTGAATTTACCAATTCCAATTCATTTTTTGCACTATAAATTCCAAATTTACATAATTTTTGTACTCCCAACATGAAAATTGGAATTGAAGTACTCAATCCCAATTCCATAATTTGAATTCCGTGTACCGAACGGAGCTTTAACTTTCGGAAAAGTTAGCATTTTAAGCATTTTAACTCTTCTAATAATCGCATACATGTACAAGTACCCGCCCCAGGTGCAACTTAGCTAGCTTAATTGCTAGACATATGTTTAATTTTCTTTCCCAAAAATTATGATTTCTTTGAGTTTTTTTGTTCCCTCAAGGTATGTGGCTTTGTTTTCATTTTTCTAAAAATCATTCTGTTCCTTTGGATATTCCATTGAGGTTGGCTTCTTTAATTAATTGTTTTAGTTGGGCTCTGTACTTATTTTATTAGTCTTAACTTTTGTTTTTTTTAATGATTTTGGTTGATCATTAAATAAAATAAAATATTCTTATCGCATTCTGTTTTGTAGAACTTTTGATGTACTTTTGAACGGTGTAATTTTTATTTTTATTTTTCTACCAATTTGTAAATAAAATGATATTTTAAAAAAGATGGTATTTTTCACGTTGTTCAAAGTGTTGTAAACAATCTAGGACAGAAGGAGTATTGAAGTTTCGCCTAAAAATTAAGCCGAAGAGCATGCAGTTCCATATTTCAATTTAATTCTTTTAAAAATTAAAATCGTCTGAATTTAAAGATTCTGTTTTGGTTTACTAAAATTAAATTCAAGACAATTTATTTTAGAATTTTGTTGGAATTAAAAATTAAAATTTACATATTCAAAAATTACATCAAAAATTTTACTAATCAAGAGATAACATGAATATATTATTTTATCCAATGACTAAAGAAAATAGAAAAAGAAAGTAAATAAACTTTGGTCATGTTATTTAAACAGTAAACTAGCAACTTAATTTTGGACAGAAAATATTAAATAAATTACGGAGTAATTAATACGGAGTAACATTTTAGAAAAATAGACACCCAAAACGAAGCACACGAAACATAGACTAAAGCCTTCAAAATCAATTACTCCCTAGTTTGATTGTTTAGTAGTAACAGATTTTGGCCCTTAAAAAATAATTTAGGGTGCTCACAATTTTCTGGTAAGAACTCACACGTTTTAAATTATCTAAAATATATTCCGAGGCATCCTCGATTTTTGTTAAAAACTCCTAGGTTCTACATTATCTAAATGTTACATTGCAGACCATGAAAATTTAAGTGAAAAGATTAAACTCGAACAGAAGGAGCATAAAGTTAATATCAAAAATTTCATTTTGAAACATAATTTTGAAATATTATATTTTTATAATCTACTCCATACATGATTTATAAATAAATGCATTAATAATCAAAGTATTTTATTGAAAACCATGAAAAAAATTAAAAAAGAAGAATGACGTAAATTCTTCCTCCGTCCATAAAAACATAGGAGATTTTGTTGGTGATTTTAGTGTCATCGGCTATTTTGTGTGATTGAATTTACTTAGATCGGACAAGAATTTAAATAGACATTGTCAAACGAGTTAGGAGGTGTGGAGTGCGCTCTCGTTCAACGATATTACAAATTCATAGTGGGGGACCGGGGTCGGCAGCCCTGGCTAGCGGGGTCCAAGGGGCAGAGCCCCTGGCCGGGGTCGAGCTTATTTCTTTTGGACGTTTTTTTATAAAAATCCTTAAGATTTTCGTGATCGGAGTCCAAAACAGTAAAAAACTCGAACGAGTGGATAAACGTCGAATTTAACTCTAAAACCGCAAGAGACCTTTCACTAAAACGCTCTCTTCTTCTCGCGTGCTTCTTCCTCTTCGCGCGAGCGTACGCGTCCGGTTATGAATTTTCAACTCTAGAAATAGAGTCTCGTGCTATGGGTTGAGGGATCCGAATTCTGGTGCTTGTTCTTGATTAACGTATTATCCGATTGAAATATTTCGTATACCTCGAAATAATTTTGATCTGAAAGTATTTATATACGATTCGTTATACTATCGAGTGTTTTCATCAATACT